TGCTCAAAGTGTGGAAATGCCAGAGTGAACATTGCCTGTGCAACCTTAAATCAATCCCCTTGTGCATAAGCACTACAATACAGTCTTTAATAATGCTCCCAATTTTTTATTTTCTTTTTTGTACACAGGAAGCTTACCTCATCCAGTGCACAAGACCAGTCTGTTCTGGGGATGAATCAGTGTTGTGTAGTGAATGGGCCTGAAGTCTATAGGAACCCTGCCTCATTTTGTTGCAGAAGTTGTAAGACTAGTAGAGCAAATGAGGCAGGGGGATGCAGGAAGGGAAAGGAGAGTCTCATAGTTAAGTCACCTGAAAGCTGCCTTGGAGACTTGGCTTCTAATCCTATACCTCCCAAAGAGTTCCTATGAGATGCTGGGTAATTCATTTATACCAATTTTTTCATAGGTAATCAATGCTACGTATAGTGAAAGGCTACATTTTGGTTGCATGATCAAAGTTCCTTCTGGCATTTCTTCAGTTAAGAGTGCTTGACTTTGCAACTTTTTTAATCCATTCTAATCCTTAACTTTGTATTTCCTATTTTTTATGCTTTAGTTTATTCATAAGAGCAACTTTTAATCTTAAATGAAGATTATTTTGTTTGTGAATAACAAATCTAATTCAAGTCTAATTTTATTACATTTAGGCCAGATTCTCAGATAGCATAAATCAGCATATCTTCACTTACTCTATTTTGCTAAACCAATTAACACCAACTGGTCATCTGGTCCATAATTCTTTTTCCAAATGTTTCATTTTAAAAAAACAAGCACATGTTGACATATGGTGTTATCCTTATTAAACAAGTTTCATGTGGCTTTATACTCAGGTGATAGTGGGCAAGTCATTTTGTTTAACTAAAACATCCTGCATGGCATGAAGAAAAATTTGTGGGTTTTTTTAAGTTATAGATGGCACTGGCAATCTGTCTGGTTATGTATCTTTGCACAGCCACTTATTGTATCATTTTGTCTGTCTTTGTATAACTCAGAAATCAATATATAGGATTAAAATTATAAATAAATGTTATTGTGTATAATGTGAAAATTGAACACAGAATACCATGATGTTTCAAACTGTGCCTTCATTTTATTCTTGTCATAGGGTGACACAATGAGCATTGTGAATTTGAGCCAGTAATTTATATACTTAATTATTCAAAAAATTGCCACAGTATTATAGAATATGAAATATGTACAAGGCTTACAGTTATAGCTGCTATTACAGGATAGCCTGTCTCTTGAAGACACTGTTTTATTTATTTATTTTACATGAGATTTAGTTCTTGTTTTCTGTGGAATTAATGTGACCAAATGTGATATGAAAAAAGGTAAGATCTTGTACATTTTCCTTTCATTTTCTTCCTTTTGTTTTAATTGCCACAGCACTCTTTTTCTGTCCTTCGAAAATAATGGGGAACTGACATCTAGGTAAATGCATACACTGTAAAAGCTGGGCTATGAATAATTAGAGGTCAAACTGATCGCCACATTTGGGGTTGGGAAGAAATTTCCCCGCAGGTCAGATTAGCAGGGGACCCGAAGGTGATTTTGCCTTCTATAGCATGGAGAGTGGCTTTAGTCTCACCCAAGTTTTTGGGTACAATATAGAGGTAACTGGGTGAGGTCAGATTATATGATCTAATGATCCTTTCTGGCTTTAAACTCTGAACTCTATGAAGAGCAAAATTAGCCAAACCCGACTGGCAGCACAGGTACCAGGAGACTAGGAAATTGGAACTGGAGATTCAGGGGAAAAGTTTAAAAATAAAAAATAATCAGACCCATCAGGTGAAGAGGGCTAGCTGGGAAAGCTGTGGTTTATAGCTGGCTAGTGAGCTTTTTGTTGTGGGTTAGTGCTCTCATGTTATGTTGTAATTTATAGTAAACTTTGTCTAGGTTTGATTTTGATATTTTTTTAATCCCTTTCTCCATCTGAAGGAGAATGATAAACTGAACTTTTACCCTATTTAGACTGGCGCATTTGGTTTTTTTTTTGTTAGAAAGTCAACCCACCCACTTGGTTTCTATAGCAGCTGCATGTCAAAAAGACAACTCATAATGCAAATACTTCTTGGGATGCCATCTCTAAATTCATACTATGGTTAGACCCAAGTCAAGAAGGTTGTGGTAACATATGAACCAGGATTAGATTTAGGGTAGAATTCAAGGTTAAGGTCTAGTTGGGCCTTGGTATTTTGATTCAGAGGTTCTAAACATCATGGATTCAGAACTAAACTATCAGGAGTTCCATTAAAACAAGATCAGTGTTGTCCAATCGGCTTACTAGCATGGTGAAAGCACTATGAAATCAGCAGTTTCTACTAGAACTTGGACACATTTGAATAAGAACGAGAAAATAAGATCTCATTTTCGAACCGATCCAAAGTCCATTCATTGGAAAGACTCCCATTGACTTCAGTGGGCTTTGGATCAATTAGTAACATTCAACTTTTCTTGTCCTTTATATTTTAAAAAAGCAATTTGCAAAATTTCACAGAATTAATAGCATGTCAAAGCGCTCGTGTGAAATTTTTCAATGGAACAGTTTTGTCAAAATTGAAATGCTCCTCGGGAATGTGTCTATTTTGATGAAATTTGTTTGATGGAAAAGAGGTGAAGTGAATTGTTTTGACTTTCTCATTTCAATAAGGTAAAAACATTTCATTTTGACTTTTTATAAAATCTTTCCACAGCTAGTTTCTCATGAGTTTCTGTATGTTTTCTATATTGAGGATGCAAAATATAACTAGCAATTACTAATGTGAGTAGAAGTGTCCTTCTTCCCAGTAATCAGCACTGGCAATTTTCAAAGTGAAGAACCAGACCATAAATCAGTTACTTTAACATCCCTCCTTACAACAGTTAATTCAGGGAGCTAGCCAAAAATAGTAGGAATTCTCACATTCCGTCATATTAACTTTATATCATGGTATAGAAGAAAAATCAATGTAGAAAACATTACTTTGTATAAATGGAGAACCTGACTGAGTTGGAAATGTAATGCTAAAGGCCCTGAAGTGCCAGAGGGGGGGAAAAAATCTTTCATGTGTTAATTGGCTGGTGAAGAACCTTCTGTGCCATCTGTTAAAAATGCTGCTACTTCTTCATGTACATATGACATTGAAGTGTTTTGGTTTCTTTAAGCCTCTGAATTCTGTGTACACAAGCAACCAAAGTTAGGCTAATGAAGGAAATATATTATTCACGGTTCTTGGGAGGCATGCAAACTATTTCATTGTGTTCTTATTAGCAGATTCTAACACCGTAGACTCAACTAAAATCTTTACACTTGCTGTTCTCAGAAGTTAAAGTTCTTGCAGTAAATGTGGTATTCTGCATCCTCAGCACAGGGGAATACTCCAGATGCCTTGCTAAAGGTTAAATGCCACTGCATGGTAAATGTCAAGATTTTAGGGGTGCCCATGACAGCTTCATGAAATATATGTCTATAGTAAAATCCTAAATTTCCTGGTAATACAAGCATTCAGCTGTGTACTGGGATTTACTCTCTAACTTGCCTCTCTGCTGGTACTGTTCTCACAAGAATGCCTTAGTATTTTAAAAAATAACTATGAAAAGAAATCACACTGGGTGTTATGTCCTTACTGGGATATGCAAGTCGGCTGGCATTTTCAAGGAGCCCAAAGGAGATTGTGCTGACTCTTACTGGGAACTCAGTGTCCCCATCTTTTCAGCTCTTCTAAAAATTAATGGGCACGACCTCCATTTAAACAGTTAGGGGCAGATCCTCAGCTGGTTTGAACAGAGGTAGCTCTGTTGAAGTCAATAAAACTAAAATGATTATACCAGCTGATGCTCTAGCCCTCAGAGCTAGACAGTGTGAAAACATAATGGGTATTTCTCGATTGGACCTCCACATTCGGACTGAGCACAATGGAAGTCCTTGGACTTGGAATTCAGAGACTGCACAGATCCAGTACCAGAACTGGCTCTCACCTGTGCAAAGTGGAAACAGTAGTGCAGGGGTCGGCAACGTTTGGCACGCGGCTCGCCAGGGTAAGCACCCTGGCGGGCTGGGCCAGTTTATTTACCTGCTGACGCGGCAGGTTCGGCCGATCGCGGCCCCCCT